TTAAAAACATATTTTAGTCCATAGTTCACATATAAGCTACTCTATAACGACGAATATGAAGATTAATTAATAACGATGCACAATGTATTATATACACTGTAAGCTGTTCTTTGTCCTCATGCATCCAAAACAGGTACAATTCACCTATCCAGGTCGGGAAACGCTTTGTTTTCTAATAAAGCAAAGGGCTGTCTCCCACAGACATAAAAAATCATTCAGACGTTAATTAGTACACATATCATACATATATTACATAAATAAACAGCTACCTTACACCGCGCGATTCCAGCCAGTGTGCAGTTGAAGTCGCACGTACGCCGTTGACGTTAGTTCATTTGCATAGACGGTCGCTCTGCCGATTCAAATGAAAATTTGATATTCCAGTGTGACATTTAAATGTACATTAAAAGAAAAATGCCGCGGTGCTGTGGTCTATGCAGTGCGCTCGTCGTGTCGGCAGGGATGCTGGGATCATCACAGGCTGCAGGCTCACACTGACTGGACGGAAGGAGGAAACGGGAGGAGAGTAAAACAGCGTAAAAAACTACACGAACTGCGCGCACTGGAAAAGCCTGTGATTAAAATAAATTTAAAAAACTCATTATGAAGGCTGATTATAGGCAATAGCCCATGATAATAAAATAGCCACACGGTGCAATTAAAAAACATTTCCACAAAATAAGTTAGTTACGCATTTCAGCAGTATTACTCCGTAAGAATGTAACATCGCAACGTAAACTCCCTAATTTAAGATACACTGAAAAAGAAAGTAGTAATTTTCTAAGGGAAAAGGATTAGTGTATATAATAAATTATAAGTGCAACCCTTTTGTAATATTTCTTTTGAAAATGAAAAGTATTCATTAAATTTGATATTGTTTTAATATTATATTGTCTTTTTAAACATATTTCACCATAACTGCACTGTGAAATACAGCAAAAAAATGGCACCTTTGGAACAAAAAAAAAAAAAAAAGCAAATAACTAGTCTTTTAAAAAATGGTATGTACTTTTACTAATTTACAACCAGTAAAAATGTCTAATTCAGTTATGAACTGTAAAACACATGATCCAGACCCCATTCTGTAATCCCTGAAATATCGCTATATTTCTGTAAATTTTAAAGTTTAAAATGATCAACATAAGCAAAAAAAAAAAAAAAGTAAATTCTTTCCATTAATTATAAAGCAGTTATTATCTCTGTTTGGTAGTCCATTTTCTCTTCTGTCTATTGAAAATGGTTCCAAACACTACTATGAACAACAATGAAAACATGAGAGTGAATGTACTCTCTGGTCTTATTTATGTCCTGCAGTTCTGGTCTGCCGCAAGGATGTCAGGCTGGTTGAAGGACTGCGTGTGTGAGTAATGAATAAGCAGTGTTGACTGCAGGCTTTCAGCCGCTGCTGCTGGTGCTGCAGACACATCTACTCACCAACAACACCATTTACATTCGCGTTCAGTTCAAAATGCAAATACTGAATGACAAGTCAAGGATATACAGTCCTCAAAGAATATATACATTTAAGCCGGACTATTGCAGTGGATAAAACACCAAACCAAGAGGCTTCATTTGACAGACACTTTTTTTCAGAACGGTTTTATAGGTTTGAAATTATAGTGTTGACTGCAGGCTCTCAGCCGCTGCTGCTGGTGCTGCAGACACATCTACTCACCAACAACACATTTACATTCGCGTTCAGTTCAAAATGCAAATACTGAATGACAAGTCAAGGATATACAGTCCTCAAAGAATATATACATTTAAGCCGGACTATTGCAGTGGATAAAACACCAAACCAGGAGGCTTCATTTGACAGACACTTTTTTTCAGAACGGTTTTATAGGTTTGAAATTATAAAACAATATACAATATAGTTTAGGCTGTTTCATGGAAAAAAAAAACCAACCCCCCCCAAAAATAATTATAATAAAACGTATGCTTTTACTGTAATAATTGCTGCAATCTCTTTAGTCAATTATATACTTTTGAATTACGAACCAAAAAGAGAACATACATTAGTATAGCCTGTGTACTCTTGCTTTTATAGAATATTAAACATATTTTAAAAGAACAATCCCTCTTAAAGCAGCACTATGTAACTTTTGGCGCTCTAGCGGTTAATAAACAGAACTGCACACATCCCGCGGAAGAACATTCCAACCGGAGCTACTTCTCTAAGTTTATGTCTATGGCGATTCACGCAGGTACGTGTTACTCCGCAGCGGTGACGACCCGACCAGGCTACAATAGTCCAAATATAAATACTTATTATAAGTGTACCGTAGTGATTCGGAATAAGACAAAAACGCAGTTTGGAAGATGAATTCATGATGTACTCGCTCATTATATACATGGATAGAGGACTCATATTTTAGGTTTGAAGCTAAAAACATCTTAGTATAATGAGTTTATTACAAACATGCCACTTTTTGCTTCACAAGACATTAATTGAAGGACTGGAGTGGTGTGGATTATTGTAATGTTTTATCAGCTGTTTGGACCAGTCATTCTGACGGCACCCATTCACTGCACAAGCGATGTAATGCTAAATTTCTTCAAATCGGTTTCAAATCAAAGCTATTGCGCTTTTTATGAATTAGGTTTTTCTCTAGTCCTTCAGAGAAACATGATGCACCTGCGACACAGCTTCCTAGCGTGCATCGAGTTCAGCCAATAGACAAGTCATCGTCACAAAAAGCTGACATTTAAAAGGATATAACAGCTCATGAAATGCTAAAACTCTTTGGTTGTTTGGACTAATATTTTGTAAAAATTGGACTGATTTCTTCAACCACTTGCTCACAAAAACTATTTTGAAACCATATTTTGGCTTCAGAACCGAAATTCTCCTAATTTCCCCTTTGGGGAACTATTATAATTTTGCCCCTCAGTCATTCTTGAGAAGTGGGACAAAACAGGGTGCAAAATTTTCTCTTTTTTAACAAAATGTGCTTTTTTACCTTGGACTGTGTAATATCATTTCAGCTTTATCTTTAACAGCATTCAAGATGTTTTTAACATTTCAAAACACATTCTCGTTAGAGTTAGCAGACAGATTACACTTTCACATGTGACCAACAATTCCACAACAAATATAAAATATCATAATGAAATATTATCAAAATATTCAACTGACGGAGTTGACACATCTGATGGTGGTGACGAAAACCTGAATTTGTAGTCATTTTAACTATCAAATACATTGAATCAGTCAATTACTGTATTAAAACAAACACAACAAACAGTGAGTATGTTATTGTTTATAAAGCTTTTATTCAAGAGTCACATTTAAGTATTTTGATATATCATTGGAACACAAAATCTTATGGTGGTGACATCTGACGGTGTTGACAAATTTGGCATTTCTTTCACAAAACCAATGGAGTTCATGTAGTAGCCATTTTATTTTTTTCTGTTGATGCTAGATGCTAATGGAACCTGCTTCAGGAGAATAAAATTATCTAAATATTTCAAATAATTTCCTCAGAAATTGGAAGATGGTGTTGACATATCATGGCTGTGACAAAGGAAATATTAACATTAGGATTTAAAATATTCTAAAACTATAAAACTTAGCAGAGCCTGTCTGACACTGCTGTACTCTGCAGAGGTGAACTGTGGCAAGGGGGTCCTTTAGAGTGACAGCTGCCCCTGATATTCCCTGATTTTATTACATTTTATTGAATGTCTGACAGTGTTGACAAAAAGTGGGGACGCAACTTTAAAATCTTATGAAACATGCATGTGTCATTAAAAAACAACCTTGCTTTGATAGATGTTAAGTGTTGCTTTTGATAAAACAAGCTCTTTTTCATCATTAAAAAAACATTATCCATTTTATTGCCTATGAATAATTGAACCCTTCTCTGTGGACACACTGTTTTAGACGTAGTGAGAGGACATTAAGAAACACAGATTTGGTATAATAATAATGAGAAAATTAAATTGAAGGTGATAATTGTGTTAAATACATTCTATTATTAATCCCTCATGACATTTAAAATTGAAAATATTTTTATTTTTTAAAGCTAATAGCAGTTACCATTGCTGGACCGGTTTTGTCCCACGTCTCAAGAATGACTGACCTACAAAAATCTTGGAGCATAATTATGAAATGTAATATTTTTGGTCTTTTGGAAGTTTCATTTCAAAATAGTTTCTGCATGCAGGTGATTGAATAAATCCTTCCAAATTGTACAAAATACTAATTTGTAAACATAACCATACATTTGCAGGGTTCCCACTTTTGTCAGTGATCATTTTCCAGGACATTTTTAATTTATTTACGACGACAATAAAAGACAAGGATCATGCCCTAAAGTAATATATTCCTCTCTACAGGAGTCTCTGTAGTTTCAATTTAAGTACCATAGCAAAAAAATAAAAAATAAATTTCCCCCTAACTTATTTAAATGTTTTTTTCTGTTCTCATGTCATATATGTATGCATGTATGTTTGTACCAAGAGCTCCTTAAAAAAAAAAAAATCCTTGTGTTTGCACACACTTGGCGAATAAAGCTCATTCCGATTCTGACAATTACATTTTAAAAAATTATTTTCCAGGACAACTACAACCTTTTCCTGGCATTTTACATTTTCAATTTCCCTTGACGTGTGGGAACCCTGATTTGGCTTAAAAATGCTTAGTCTGAATGGGCAGAATGCCTCTGAATGCTTAAAGGGCCAGATTTACTAACAGCATTTGTCAGCGCAAAAGCCTCATTTGGCATGAAGAAACTTCTGTCAGCGTTTACAAAAGACATGCAATGAAAAATAAGCGATGAAAAGAGATATTTGCAGCTGACCTTACTGCATATGCATTTGTAGGAGTTTCCCTTTTAGATGCAAAAATTATGAGAGGAGAATCACTGACAGCATCATACAGATCTCAAAACTGTATTTCTGGAAATGGATGATTTTGAGAATAGAGGATTTAGTGGTTCACCTCGAGTGGTTTATAAAAGGAATCATTTAAAGTATAACACCCAATTACACAATTTGTTTTGTGATGTTGGCATTTATTTGGTGCCACATGATAAATGATCAGTTCATAAAAAAAAATTAAAAAAAAGGAAATACTAAAAAGGAAAAATAGTATGCAGAAATGACATGGAAAAAAGCAGTCAAGTATACACAGAGGCTTGTACACAAAAAAACCCTGTACAAAATGTTACATGCATAAAATGTGTAAAAACATCTTAAAATCACAAGTGTTCAAACGCTCCTCTTCAGACACTTCACTTTCCCATACTGCTGAGAATATTGGCCTGTGAGGGGAAAAAGAAAGTGTGACTCAAAGGAAATCTCCGAAATCACATGCTAGTGTGCTTCCTTCCAGACACATTATTAAAAAGATCCACAGCAGACACAGACATTACCGACACAAACCACAAACCTTTATGAAAGAAGAGAAACGTTTAGCTGTAACGCCTTCGATTTGCTTCAGGTCTTCCACCTACACACAAGGAAAATAAAGAGAACACTAAATATTAAATCAGCCTCTATGATCTGCATGTCAAAGTTTCGCACATCACAGGTGAAGAGCCAGACTTCTACCTGTGTGAAGTCCCCATGAAGCTCTCTCCAGCCCATGATCAGTTTGGCTTTCTTGTCTCCGATCAGCTGCAGGCTCTTGAGATCCTTCAGAGAGCCGGAGTTCAGCGTCTGCAGGATCTTCTTCCTGGACTGCTCTAGTAATGCTGAATCCAGATGGGACTCCCAGTTGACTTCATCAGCAGGGGGACGATCCACACCTCCGTTCTCCTTCCCCTGACCCACCTTATCAGCAGAAAACCTCAGTTAATCACGGCAAACGTGAAAGTAACATCTCAGTTACTGTCAAGTGCAAAATATACCAGCGCTTGACAGCTTTTAAAGAAACCGGAGAAATTTCTGTCCTTCCATGGAGTTCATTCACCCAAACTTTAGTGCTTCACAAAGTTCACATTGTTAAAAAAATGCATATGTAGTTAAGCTGGATGCATAGAAAACTTCAGCCATCTCCTGGCCATTACTGTCATAACATGATTTTATTTCTTCACCAGGCAGCAATATGGCCAAATACATTATATTTTTCTCATTTTCTTTATGTTCCAACTTACAGAAGTGTAGATTTTTACTGTACTGCAGTTTGTATATTTGCTTATACAAATGGTGAAATAGATAAATTTACATAAGCGTAAAATCTTAAAATCCCTAAAGTGCACATTTTAGAAATTAGTGTTATATACATATACACACACACACACATACACTATATATATATATATATCTATATATATATATATATATATATTTATTAGTGTTGTCAAAAACGATTAATCGCATCCAAAATAAAAGTTTTTGTTTGTATAATATATGTGTGTGTTCCGGGTATATTTATTATGTATATATAAATACACACACACATTCATTATATATTTTGAAACTATTTACATGTCTATATTTATATTCATAATTTATATTATAAATAAATATATTTAATATATAAACAACCTATTTTTTATTTTTTTAATCTATACACGCATGTGTATGTATTTATAAATACATAATATATGTATGTGTGCTGTGTATATTTATTATGTAAACAAAAACTTATTTTGGATGCGATTAATCGTTTGACAGCACTAATACACACACACACACACATATATATATATATATATAACTCCGTGTCAATAAAAATTTTTCAACAGCCAAGATGTAACCCCTTTTCAAAAAGCTTGGAAGGGTTTATACAAATCTAAATGATTATTTCTGACAGCATTATCGTTTTTGGGGTAAAACAGGCCTTCAAACAAACATTGGCATTTGAATCTGTATCTCTGTAATATCAATTATTTTATTAGACCCAAATCTCCTGGTCGGAGCACCATTAATTGTTCTATGTTGTAATACGCACGTGTAAAGAACAACCAGCGGCACACTGACCTCAGTTTGGATACGTTTCTTCTTCTTATCCAAGAACTGTGAGGGCTTACACACCACAGCACACTGCTGCAAGGGCTGCACCTGAGAGACTGAGATGTGTTTGGACAGGAAGAAACGGCTCCTTATTTACCAAATACAGGCTGAAATGTTGTGCTTAAAGGAATAGTTCACCAAAAATGAAATTTGCTGTACATGTACTCAACCTCAGGCCATCCAAGATGTAGATGAGTTTGTATCTTCTTCAAAAGACTTGGAGAAATTTAGCATTACATCACTTGCTCTTGAGCTGAAAAGTTGCATAGTTGTACAAAACAAATCCAGAATTCAGGCGTTTTACCTTTAAACAGTTGCTTCTGATCAAAATAGGAGTTAATTATCCATAAACGCTTACTCCAGTGGAAAAAGTCCATCCCCCGTTGTCCTCTCACAAAACTGTTTCTGCTTATAAACGGTGCTTGATCTGTGCATATTTCTCTCTTGATTCAGATTTTTTTTTACTGGAGAAAGCAGTGTTATGGATTATGAAATCATATTTTAGCTGTAAGTGACGATTTGATGTTAAAAACATTTTAATGATGGATTTGTTTCTTACAAATAGGCAGCTTTTGGCTTCACAAGACATTAATTGATGGTGTGGATTATTGTGATGTTTTTATCAGCTGTTTGGACTCTCATTCTGACGGCACCCATTCACTGCAGAGGATCCATTGGTGAGCAAGTGATGGAATGCTACATTCCTCCAAATCTTTTCTGATGAAGAAACAAACTCATCAACATCTTGAATGGCCTGAGGGCGAGCACATTTTTGGGTGAACTATTGCTACGTTTAGATTGTCAGGAAATGCACTCTTAAATGTATCAGTTCAGAGTTTCCCATCTGGAACCACAGAAGCTGACAGTAGCAGGATGAGAGAGGGGACAGAGCGGAAATGCTTCAAGCCCTGAAGAACAAAGCAACTGTAGCATCACAGAAACTGCATACTAACAGCACAACTCAACAGGCAGAGAGGAAAGAGCAGGAAAATTCAAAGGGTCATGAAACACTAAACCACTTAAATCAATACTGCGTTCTCATGCATGAAGAGTGTCCCAGGAGGACTATAAGGATGAAGTTAACCACAACTTACCCTGTAACGGCGTGACAACCGCTTGCTGTTTGCGTGGTTTGGAGGCTGTAGATGGTTTTCTGTGCAGTAGGGGCAGATCTGTCTTAAAGAGAAGTGCATCTTTGGACTCTTTCTCAATGGTTTCATTCTGCTTGTTTAACATGTTTGCTTTGTCCTCCAGCTCCTTCTGTTTCTCCTTCAACATCTATGGGAAGACAGCAGAACATATTTGAAATCACCCACTGGTTGATGTGGAAGAGGTTTTCCAAACTGAGCACTCATGTACAGTTTGCAGTTGGTATTAGTAATCTTGCCCAATCTGATGGATTAACTACAAGCAGGAGGGATGCTGCTGATTTCACAGAAACTGCTTAGGTGATCAGCTCGTATTTTTCAATCTCTTGCAATGCACTGAAATTGAGATAGAAATGTTGTTCTGACCAAGCAATTGATAGTTTTCACGTGACGTCACACCCTTATAGGAACGCCCACCTGGAGGGCAAAACGAAGCTTTACTTCACTGACCGCCAGTTATTTTTATGCAGTTTGCATTAAGTAGTAAAATGCAGATATTAAAAGGCGAAATTCAGTAGACACCTTATTGATCATGTATATTTTGTACAGGCAAGCAGATGAAGCCAGAATATAAACGCTTATGATAATTAAGCACTATTTAACTTATTCATTACGATAGAACTTTAGTGATTAGAATTGGTAACCATGTATGAATGCATATTTGTCATTTTAATTAAACTTAGGACTGGTGGTAATGCTTAAGATAGTTACCCATTGGGTTTCTGTAAAAAAAAAAAAGATATTAGTAATAGATAATAGTAATTATTATTAAAAGATAATACTACTCCTACTACTAACAATATACAACACACTAAGGATTGATGAGCTGCTGGTTCATGAATATTAATCACGTTGTCAGCGTTGCCTCGAACGGATTTGCTGAAATCAAAACAGGGACGGGAATAGATGAGAGCCAGCCAATGAGAATGCCGTTTGCGTATTAGCTCCGCCCACTACCAGAGAAACCGGCATATATTCTGCTTGTTCTTAAAAGCTGAATAATTCTAAATGAACTCCGTTATTTTGACAGGAAAATACAACGAAGAAGATGGTTTACATGCAGTGCGTCTATTGAGCGTGGTATGTAAGACTCTCACTCTCTCTCTTTGCATGTGTGAGAAACAGCGCTATCAGCAAAGCGACGGCGAGTCGTGCGCCTTCACACTAGAGTTTACAGCGCGTCAAATACAGGTGTGCTGCACATCCATTGAGCTGAACTGAAATAGTACAGATTTGTTGACGGAGAGCGAAACTCTGAAGCGACTGAAAATATATCTATGCTAAATTAATTAGCCTCTCACACACATACTGGCAAGTAAAATCTAAGAATTTATTAGCCAATGGCTAACGATAGACATTATTTAGTCGCATATGCTAGTGATTCACTCGCAATGTAGAGGATTGCATATTGAAAGAGTGTGTACGATACCTGTATTTCTTTACGGGACTGTGCTACAGTTTTGAGCAGGTCGAGTCTCTCCCTCTCAGCAGAGCCCATCATCATCTTCTCTAGAGCCAGGAGTCTTTCCAGAACCGATGAATCTGGTGAACTGAAAGACATTTCAACTTTAACCACATATACACCAGCCAGACAGCATCAGATTAATATGTATACGTGTATGCTTATATATATATATATATATATATATATATGTGTGTGTGTGTATATATTTATGACAGACTGATATATATATTTAAAGGTGCACTAAGCGATTTTTGAAAAACGCTTTTGAACAGTGTCGGACTGAGTCCAAAAACAAACTCGCAGCCAATCAGCAGTAAGGGGCGTGCCTAGTAATGATAGGGAGAAGACAGCACTCAGTGAGTGCACCGGACAGACATTAGTTGATTGACTACAGATAGTGAGAGATGGCAGATAGGAAAAAAGAAAAGAAAAAAGAGAGGACATTTTCAAATATCAACATCGTTTCGCAAAAATCGCTTAGTGCACCTTTAAGCAACACTGTGAAGGAAAAAAAATATTAATCAATTATAATATCAATATCAACTATACAATCCCACCATTTATTATTCAAGAAACATTTCTTAATGTAAAAAAAATATGTGCCGTTTAATATTTTTGTGGAAACCATGATACATTAAAATTTGTTTTATATTATATGTATTATATTATGGAATAGAAAGTTCAAAACATTAGTGTTTATTTGAAACAGGAGCCATTTCTAACATTATAAAATGTTTTATTATTGTGACTTTTGATCATTCTAATGCATCATTGCTAAATAAAAGTATTACAAACAATCTTACTGATTTAAAAAAAAAAAGGTAAGCATTTTTATTTTAAAATTACTTAAAGGGGTCATATGATGCTGCTAAAAAGAACATTATTTTGTGTATTTGGTGTAATGAAATGTGTTTATGCTGTTTAAAGTTCAAAAAACACATTATTTTCCACATACTGTACATACTGTATTCTCCTCTATGCCCCGCCGTTTTGAAACGCATCGATTTTTACAAAACTCATCGGTCTGAAAAAGCGAGGTATGCTGTGATTGGCCAGCTATCCAGTGAGTTGTGATTGGCTGAGGTAGATATGTGGGGGCGTGTTCGAACGAGCCGTTTTAGGTAGGCGTGGCTGACTCTTAACTTTTATAAAGAATATCTCTTTGGATTTGAGACTTTAGTCTTTGCAACTTTACAGATCTTCTTTATGCACCAAGAGCTTGTAACACTCCAAAGAGAAAGGAAAAAATGAAATCGCATCATATGACCCCTTTAATATTAAGGTTGATTTATTAGTTTTACTTTTCGTGGGTTAACTCATGTACCGCAGTGCAAAATGAAATTAATTTGAAAGCTATTCACAGCTATTCAGAGTTTTAGCTTGACCGCCCAGCACTACAGTACATGTGTCCTCCCTATGCATGTCCAGTGAGGCACATTTAGCCTGTGGTCTTTGCTATAGGGAGTTTTCCTTTGAGCACCAGCTACCAAATCATGGCCTACAGCACAAAGCCAAGACCTGTTAAAGTGCTCACACAATAAACTAGTTTACCTGTTGTAACAAGCTGTCGTACCTGTGTGGATGTACCGGAGGTGATGGAGACTGTTCAGCTTTCTTTCCTTCTTTAGACTTTTTGTTCTGGGGCTCACCAGAACCTCCAGCCTCCTGTTCCTCTCTGGCTCTCTTTCCAGGAGCTAGGAATGAAGGGATAAAATGATCACCACATACCCAATTATTATCATCCAGTGAAATATATAATAATACAGCGCTCCTCACCAATCGTAGGAGCCAAAACGGTTTCCCTGACAAAGGGCCGATTGACAATCTGCTTAGACTTGGCGGCGAAGTTAAGGGCTGAGAAGGTGTCAAAGTAGTATCTGTACTCCGGTGCGATGTTTGTGATCATGACAGAATGGGCCGAACCACCCAGAGAGTCCTGCAGCAGACGGGTGAGTTTACTGTCTCTGTAGGGCACGCGGCCCCCGGCCCCCGCATTCAGAGCGTCCACCACTTTACTGAGGGTGAAGAGGGACAGGTTGATGGCTCCACTCTCTTTCAGACGGATGCCCTGGTTTCCTGTGCGCCGGTTGTCTTCTGAACCAGCCAGGTCAACTAAATACAGCTTTCCTGTTTGCTGTCTGTGTGGCGGCCCACGCTGAGACTTCACTACCTGAGAGCAAACATATGCATTTATGTGATTATTAGTCTTTTGCAGAAGACTGGCAACTTTATAGGACCCAATGAAATCAGTTTTATTTTTGCACAAACTTTGCTTGAATTTTTCTGGATTCTGTTTTAATGCTTAAGTACAATTTAATAAATTTAACAATAAAAATGGCTAATAAAATCAACTGATCAATCAACTGAATTTCAATTAAAAAAATAAAACTTAATAAACCATTATAATTATTACATGAAAAATACATTTCATTGTACAATAGCAATATATTTCTGTCTTAATTTTCTTCTGTTTCAATGGTTTTCAAAAAAGATGGCTAATTCATAAAACTAACTAACTATTTAATAAACTTTTATAATAACAGTGGCCTATAAAATGTGTTTTTTCCCTCAGAAATTCTGTTGTCTGTTTGAATTTCTTTTGGATTGTGTTTTTTTTATTTTTTATTATATAATACAAATGTATTATTAGAAACAAAGGTCATCAAATGAATGCATAAAACATATTATTTATTTATGATTTAACGCCATGTCAGCAGCAATGTCTCTATATTCATGGCAAAAATAATTAAATTGCATCACTCAATCAATATCCTTTCATAATATTTACAATTTAAAGGTCCCATGGCATGAAAATTTCACTTTATGACGTTTTTTAACATTAATATGAGTTCCCCTAGCCTGCCTATGGTCACCCAGTGTCTAGAAATGGCGATAGGTGTAAACCGAGCCCTGGGTATCCTGCTTTGCCTTTGAGAAAATGAAAGCTCAGATGGCCCAATCTGGAATCTTCCCTTTATGTCGTCATACGGGGAAAGGTTACCTCCCCTTTCTCTGCTTTGCCCGCCCAGAGAATTTGGCCCGCCCATGAGAAAATGAGCTACTACCGTGCGAGGCGAGCGCAATATTTTTTTTTCCTCGAGAGACATCATGGCTTGCAAACGAGCGAAGCATGGCAGTTGCTCAGTGTTTGGATGTACAAATGAACACCGAAGTATTTTTTTAGTTCCTTCATCCGAGCCTATGAAGAAACAGTGGGTTAATTTTATTTTCTCTGGTAATGCGCCGACACAACTTCCCAAAGTTTTGTATGTCTGCGCCAAACATTTCACCGACGACTGTTTCCTCAACTTGGGCCAATACAGAGCTGGCCTTGCTGAACGTCTGAAAATAAAGTCTGGATCAGTACCAACTCTCCTTGGCTCAGCTACAAACCTCGGACAAGTAAGTCAACTAACGCTATACAATTTTGTTGCTTTACTGTATATGGTTACCTAGCTTGTTATCCTTAGAATGAAAGCATCCAAAAAGCAGCATGTCATGGGACCTTTAACAGTTTTGTCTTAAAAAATCAACAAACAAAAAAACAAAAATAACAACAATAATAGCAATAACAATTATGTAATCAAATGAAGCTTGAACAATTCCTTTCATTTTTTGGCAAAAAAAAAAAAAGTGTTGGCCAACAGAGGTTTACAGTTTAAATTAAAACAAAAATTGCCATTCCTTAAAAGCTATAAGCTATATTATTATTATTTTGAGACATTCTATTGTACTGTAGCAATTTACTTGTCTTAATTCTTCAAGTTTAACCAAACTTTTATTTTGACAGGTTGATGTATTTGTTTTAATTGACGCAGAACATGCAGACTTCATATTTAAATAGCAGTATTTTGTGCTTTAATATTCAGTCACTAGTCTAAAGCGCAATTAATTTAAGTGTAGTGCCCTACTTTTGATTTATTCTTCCAAATTTTGAGAAATTCGGTGACATTCCGCATTATACAGTAAATTCTATTTTTATGACTACTGTTCTCTCTCCCAAATACAACCAGCAGACACACTGTAAAAGTCAGTGGTATTTGTTTGATGGAGAGATTTAATTTCAGCACCAGCTACCAAATCATGGTCTACCACACAGAGACCAGGACCTGTTAAAGTGCTAAAGGAGAACTAGAATGAAGAGAAGTGCACAGGTTCAAACCTTTATGAGGAGGATAGCGTGACTGCGGCTGGAGCGCTGGTTGAGTTTAGTAGAGGCCGTGGTGCGGTTTAGACTCGCGGGGATAAAATGAGTGTCAAAATCGGTAAAGGATGAGAGTGGCGTGTGTGTTAGCCCGGGAATGAGGATGTTTCTGTCCTTGTCTTCACGGATGGGCAGGTCCTGGGAACCCGGGGACAACAGGTCCAGCACCTACAGACACAAGGTGCATCAATATTCCAGAGCAGCTGCCACTGAAATGGGTTAAGTGTGTGCATGCATATATATTTACTTATTAAAAAAAATACTTAGACTACCATTCAACAGTTTGATGTCAGTAAGATTTTTCTTTTATTTAGCAAGGATGCATTAATCAAAAGTGACAGTATATATAATATTCTATTTCAAATAAAAGCTGTTCCTTTGAGCTTTCTATTTAAAGAATCCTGAAATATTAAAATATTAACCAGCAAAAACTTTCAACAATTGATAAATGTTTCTTAAGCAGCAAATAAGCATTTCTGAAGGATCATGTGACACTGAAGATTGGACTAATGGCTACTGAAAACCCACAGAAATCAATTATTTCTCAAAACATCTGACCTTTTCATTGTAGATCTCGAGGTAAGACATCCCAACCGAGTATTCCCAACCATCTGGATCCTTTTCCTGAGCTTTAACCAGTTTGAAGACCTCCTTCACAGCTCTGGTAATTACGCCCGGCTGCTCTTGACTGCCAAGCATGGTGTGGGTCTTTCCTGAAGAAATGAACAAGAATAGTCTCTAGATTGTGAATTGACAATATAAAGGCACTTCATAATAATCCTAAGAATCACATCACATAAGTTACTAAAGGAGGCGGTTGAAGAAATCTAGGCGGAAGAAATTTTATAGTTTACACTGAGATGATAACGATATCACATTCAACAACAGAGGAAGGGGTCATACCTGCTCCAGTGGGTCCATAGGCAAAGACACTGGCGTTCTGACCATTAAGGATGTGAGGGAGGATGGGCTTGACGGAGGTCAGAAACACCTCCTGCTGTGTTGTCTGTTCACCATGAAACACATCGAACCTACAAACCAATATACAATGTTTAAATCGATCACTGCAAAAATAAATAAATAAATGGTATCATTCACTGAGTTCCAAAACTACAATAATAAAAAAACAATAAATATAAATGTAAACAACGTATTTTATTTTATAGATATTAAAGGGGTCATACGATGTTGCTAAAAAGAACATTATTTTGTGTATTTGGTGTAATGAAATGTGTTTATGCGGTTTAAGGTTCAGAAAACACATTATTTTCCACATACTGTACATTATTGTTTCTCCTCTATGCCCCGCCTTTCTGAAACGCGTTGATTTTTACAAAGCTCATCGGTCTGAAAAGTGAGGTGTGCTCTGATTGGCCAGCTATCCAGAGCGAGTAAAGAGCGGTCGGCATGACGAAGCGGATATCGTCCTCTTTTGGAAGACCAAACAAAGTAGTTTCGCTTTCACAACGAAACACACAGCGTCTTCACGACATGGCGGCGGCAGCAACAATACTACAGCGAGAACCAAAGTTACGCCTTCTTTCTTTGCGTGAACATTTGGGCGGCGTTATGCAAATCTTCCCACATCATGACGTAGACATGTGGGGGCGTGTTAGAACGAGCCGTTTTAGGTAGGCGTGGTTGACTCTTAAATTTTATAAAGAATATCTCTTTGGATTTGAGACTTTAGTCTTTGCAACTTTACAGATCTTCTTTATGCACCAAGAGCTTGTAACACCAAAGAGAAAGGAAAAATTGAAATCGCATCATATGACCCCTTTAAACATTTTAAGTTATAAATTTGTAATATTTTGTAATTAAAAAATGGAATGCAATTATCTTAAAAACCTTGCAGACAATTATAACGTTCCAATAAATAAAGCTCAATGAGGTTGACAAATTGAGGGTCAAAAGTTAACTGTCAAAAAAAAAAGAAAAAAAAAAAAGGACCTGACTTGAATTGATTTTATAAAATTAGAAAATATATTTTCTTATAAATGTTAAAAACACACCCTGAAAATCAATTCCATTGAGTAAAGAAGAAAACACTGATAAATATTGTTGTATTACATTGTCAAAATGGACCTAAACCTAAATCAACTAAAATCGGTCATGTATATTATAAAAGCCTCTTTTAGTGTTTAAATGTTTCTCTGCCTGATAATCCAAACATGCACGTTTAGAGCCAGTGGAGTTTAGTCAAAGAGAAGTTTGATATCAGCACCAGCTACCAAATCACGACCTACTGCACTGAGACATGACCTGTTAAAGTGCTTAATAATGAAGGAGAAAGAATGAAAGGCATGAAGACGAAATAAACACTCAAAGTGCAAACTTCAAGGAATATGACTACTGACTGGTACTGAAGGGTCTCAGTGGCGTTCCTCCAGTTGATGATCTCCAGCTTTTGGGGCCCCAGACCCCTGACACAGGGGCCCTCTCCCTTCTCATCCTGCTTGTCCATGTAGGGCCTGAGCCGAACCGCCACACGAACCCGAGAGGTCCGTTTGGATCCAGGAGCACCATCGTTCACAGCAACACGCTGTGCCATTTCTGACATCAAACCATTAGACTCAACATCAAATATACGCATCGATATAAAACTAACAAAAGCACTGTCTATAACGTTACTCTGGATGGAAAAAACACGAGTTTCCTGAATGTGTTCAACTCAGTAAAGCACTGACGTGTTTCCCTTTCAAAAAGCAACACACGGACATAAACAAAAAAACTATTACATTAAACTTACCTACTGTGTTGTGCAACTGTTAATCCACGTCTCGGCTTATTTGGTCTGTCCTCTGGCACAATATAAGGTGTTTTGATAAACTAATTTTATTCAATAACTTACATCACCACATCTCTGTAAACTCCTCAACAATGGCGCCTGTCCGGCCAAGCACGGTTATTTTCAAAAGATGAAAACCCCGCCCCCTTCACTAGATTTAACCAATCAACGCACCAGAATCCTTCACCCGCCTTCTTCTTTGGAAATTTAACGGAAGAGACAAACGCGTTGTGCCGCCATCATTCGGCAGTATATTGGAATAACAGTACACAATATTTTTAAAAAAAATCAGAAATACAAAAAGTGTTCGTTATGCAAGAAACAACGCTATTAAATATCTTTAATATGCAAAATAATTATAAAATTTTCCTATCCACCATTACGTTCATTCAGATGAATATATATATATATTCAAATTAAACCTAAATTTGCAGCATATGGCATATGATTTGAGTATGCCAACTTAGCTGAAACCTTAACAGTTCAATCAATATATAGCATATAATTTTGTCAATATATCGCTCACAACATAAATAGAGAAAAAAGTAAATAAAAGTGAAGCATTAATTTATAAAAGAGTTACTTTATTAAAAGCTTGCTTACTTCAGGTAATGTACAGCATAAATATGCCTTTCTATATACACACACCTTCAAACATCTTACAGTGATTACTATATGAGTGTGCCAGTTGTTATAAAATATTAATGCTTAATCTATGTGCAAATTCAGATTCTATATTTTGGTACCACCAAATCTAAAATATTGTGCCTTTAACGGCAATGTACAAGTTTTACAACTTGAACTAAAATTGACGCCTAAACATAAAAATGTTGTAATTTAATATTATCCATCTATTATCACATAGCAAATCCAAATGAATAGGGTAAAGACTTGCAGTGTTTTGCACGACTCTACAGAAAGGCAAAAGAACACAGGAAAGCAAAGTTAAACTACATTATTATTTAACTGACCTGTTCAGGAATAGCTGATAACTATTTAAAAAGAAAGCTGACTGATATTCTTAGAAAACTTCCTGTGATGCAGCTCTCTTTAAGTCTAAAAGGAAACACAACACATTATTTTAAACTACATTTTAGCTATACAGTTTTAAAATGTGTATTGCCCTTATTGGCCAACATCTAAACTGCTCATGTAAAACGCTTCAGTGATATTAATATATTAATCATAGATGCTACTGTTCTAGATTTCTGTAGCATCTCTATTCATAACCTGCTGTAAAATGTGCCAGTCGGAGGCTTTCCTTCACAGATCTGTATACTGTCCCTCTCACTGGACCGAGATCAGTTTTGCACCTTCATCTCCAGCATTTGAGTGGGGTTTGTATTCAGTGCAAGTTCATGTCAATCACATGTGGAAGATCGACTGTTTAGCCATACACTTTTAAAATGTGTATTACCCTTAATGGCCAATATTTAAACTGCTCTTCTGTTTCAGTGATATTAATAGATTAATCACAGATGCTACTGTTCTTGATTTTTGTAGCATCTCTATTTACAACCTGCTGCAAAATGTGCCAGTCGAGAGGCTTTCCTTCGCAGATCTGTTACATACTGTCCCTCTGACTGGACTGAGATCAGTTTTGCAGCTTCATCTCCAGCATTTGAGTGGGCTTTTGTATTCAGTGCAAGTTCAGGTCAATCACATGTGGAAGATCGACTCAAATTCATTGAGTAAGAATTCTACAATCTGGTTCTGGAAGACCATGTAAGTGGCGATGTTTGCCGTCTCCACCTCCGGTTTGAGTAACGTTGGGCCGAAAACGATAGCCACATTCTGCACGCTCATTCTGTTCTCATCGCCGTGTTGAATAACCCTGAAAGAAAGAGACAGAGACATGTTGTAGATATATACTGTAACGTTTATAAAGAGGTGTAAATACATGTGTGTAAAATGAACAACATACTTGCGTAAATGGCTGAATAGGGCCTCCATTGTGTTACGGTTGGGTGGTGGCAAAGACCGTACCAGATTTCTCATGTGTGCTATTTTACTGTAATAATCAGGGATTTCTGTATCAAAGCACAAGGAAGAACACAAATTAATTAAATTAAAACTTAATTATCACTACATAGATAGATAGATAGATTGTAATGAATTACTAGTATTATATAATGAATATATATATATATATTAAATAAAAATATCTATATTGTGGAGTACCCCCCACCCAAAATTTAAAAAAAATTCTGAGAAAAAAATTTGAAATTTGAATTTTAAAGAGGTGTAAATACATGTGTGTAAAATGAACAACATACTTGCGTAAATGGCTGAATAGGGCCTCCATTGTGTTACGGTTGGGTGGTGGCAAAGACCGTACCAGATTTCTCATGTGTGCTATTTTACTGTAATAATCAGGGATTTCTGTATCAAAGCACAAGGAAGAACACAAATTAATTAAATTAAAACTTAATTATCACTACATAGATAGATAGATAGATAGATAGATTGTAATGAATTACTAGTATTATATAATGAATATATATATATATATTAAATAAAAATATCTATATTGTGGAGTACCCCCCACCCAAAATTTAAAAAAAATTCTGAGAAAAAAATTTGA